GTAGACACTAATTCCACTATCTGCATTATATAAAAGGATGTCTGCTAAAACAGGTGCACTCACTAAAATAACGTTTATAAGAAGAAGAAATCTAGTCATATTGTTATGATGGATGTGCGGGTGGTGTCCTTGATATCGGCGCGGAATGAAAAATCGGAAAGACAAGTTCGAATTCCAGTCGAGTTCGTTATATTCACTTCCACGCAAATAAAATTAGGAAAGAAAGGAATCCATCTCTTCTTCTGCCCCTAGCTATGGGTTGAACAGTCGGACAAACTGAGCTCCTTAGCCCTGATTGTCGTGTTCAGTCTGGTGTTTCCACTTCTGTTATAGTGGAACATACCTATTCTATAGTTAATAGATTCTCCCACCTATAATAAGTAGGAGTAGTAAGAGTAACGAGAGGGTCGCTCAGTGAGTCGATCTGAGTTCAGTCTGAAGTCGGACGACCGGCTGATCGGTTGAACTCTCTTCCTTCGGGCAGAGAGGAACCCGAACGAGGCTACGCCGAAGTGCGGAGTCTCTTTCGGGGAGGTAAACCGACCCTGAACCCGTTTATACGGGTTTTAAAAGGGCATATTTTTGGCCGAGCCCACGGGCTCGGAGATCCCACGTTAAACCGGCTTTGTGCCACATGATGCCCTCATGGGGGGGGGTGACTGAATATCGCTCAGTGAGTTGGTCAGTCAGTCGATGCCGAACGACCGTTAGTCGGATATTAAATTATCAGCCACCACAACTAAATTTCTCTGCGTCATTACCTATTATATCAAGTTCCTAACGTTTTGTACGTCGAACCTATTTTAGGACCGAATTAGTACAAAAACAAGCCTCCACTGTGAAATCACTCCATGACAACTTCGATCTTACCGCCATGGGTGGCCCTGTTGGAACTCGCTCTTGGAATCACTGGTACAAGTAGACCCTCCACCGTGGCAAGAAATGATCGTATATATTTTACACTGGATGTCGGAGTGAACAGTTCGTTATCAAATGTACCACATTGATTTATAATTACTTTAATGACGATAATAGAAACAAATCAATAAATAAGAAAAGAATAAAAGTAAGTATAAAATTATCTTTAAATTATCTTTTAATTTGTTGCTATAAATATTGAGAACAAATTTTTATTTTGTCTATATTTCTAAAATATTATGTAAATTTATTAGAGACTATTGATCAAATTGTCAATTTCGGCCGTTGTAAAGAATTTCGAACTGAACCCTTTATTTCGAAACTGTTCTAATTCCACGTGCCATGTTTGAATGTCAAAAAAATATGAACTGGTAAAGACAAATGATAACAAAAAATTGCAATAACATTACTTTAGATGTCCTCACTGGCACAAAAAGGCGTTGGTTAGATCCAGTTTTCCTGGTTACTATCCCATTTGGAATTAAAACAGTCTACCCCAGCCTCGTTGAAGAAGGCCGGAGCGTACAACAGCCGAAACGTTGTGACAAATATATGACAAAGATGAGGACAATAGTCCGACTAAAAATCTTAACATTACAACTCCAAACGCTTTTACTATCCATTTGAAAATACGTCCTCGTTCATAAAAATCTTACGTTACTACAATCAGTAAATAAGAAAAGGATAACAGAATAAAATTATTGATATATGTTGTTAAAAAATGTTTGAATAATAAAATGATAGGTAAAGAAATCGACGATACTGAACCAATATATGTTAAACAAAACAAACATTACGACACAAAATGCATTTCCTACAATTTCGAAAATTACATCCTATTTCAAAAAAAAGAGAAATGTTGCGCTTAATTATAGAGTAGAATTTTTCGTGTCAGTGTCTAAATAATTGAACAAATACAATTCAGTAAATGTTCATAATATAATTCATTGTGATAATAGACATGTCTAATAAGGTAAACTTGCTAAAACACTTATTTTAAAAATAAAACAAAAAACAATTGATGTATACAAAAACTTAAAAAAATAAAGAAATAACAATAAAATGAAGAAATATGAATTTGAAGAATTAAATATTGTAAAAGCACAATAATATGACAAAATTATAATATAATAACCAACGAAAAATATAACATTAAATAGATAATTAAAATAAAGTTTTCGTTTTTTTAAAAATACATCGCCTTCTTTGAGCAATAATAACACGGCCGTTTACTCCGACATCAGCGTCTCTCTCTCTCTCTCTCTCTCTATATATATATATATATATATATATATATATATATATATATTTAATCTTTTTTAAAATCATTTCACCCCAAGCAAATAGTTTTTGTTAACACAAATACTTTCGATCTTCCCCGAGATCATACTCAGAGGTGAATTATAACAGAGCGCGTTCATGCCTCTTTACAAAAATCACCATCAAAAGGATCACAGTTACAATAAGTTTATCGTCGCAATTCACATTTTGGTCCATGGTATTCTCAGCATCCTTCTGTAGAAGCACATTTCTCTTCCTGTTTCAATACTCTTTTCTTTCTGTTGTTTCAAATCTCTTCATCTGTGAGGAGATTGTCCAGCATTCACTGCCATATAGGATGACTAATATTACATAACATTTCAGTGCTCTTTTCGTTGTTTCTAACGAATTTTTTCTGTTCCTTAATGCATTGCTTAGATTTTGGAAGGTATCTTTCGCCATGCCAATGGATCTTCGGATTTCAGTAAATATATAAATCTGCAGATTTAAGAAGCACTTATAAAATTAAGGAATTCCGAGATAAATGAGAAATTCTGTTTGGACTCTGCTTTTAGAATGGATTTAACAGTTAATAGGTACATTTAGCTCAAGGAACAATTACATTGTGTGTGATGTTATTATAACAAATAAAAATTTGAATTTGCAGTTCGAAAATATCAAGTATCCGCAGTTTTTCTTTCCTCATAGCATAAATAAAAGCGCTTGATCACAAACATTTGACAGTATCTACATTCTTCGGACATCGATATAAGTTTTTGTAGGTAAACACAAAATATAAAATAAAAATATTCTACATCTTTAATCAAATTTGAATTAATGACTGATGCCTATATACATATAAATGTGACTAGTACAACATTTTTGCTATTTAAATCTCAAATATATGCTATGGCGACACAGTTGTTTATTGCCTTCCACAGCCAATTATTTCTACCGTTTTTATTTTTTCGGAAATCTTCTATCGTTCCCAGGCAACAGTTCTACATGCAGAAGAAAATATTCCCTTTCATTTGCGTCCATAGATAACCATCCCTGGTCAGAAATCGATGGAAATGCTTCGCTCTATCCCCGCCCAACTGATGGATTCAGTCATAACTGAAACAATAATGATAGCGTAAATAGAAGAAGCAGCCTTTTATTCACACTTAACAGCCAAGGAATTAACTAGGCAGAATATTTATTAGTTCCCCTAATGGTCTGTCTCTTGACTGGTTGGAGCATTGAGCGGCGAAACACGCCTTTTAAAGCAAACGGAGCATCTATTTACATGTCCGAGGGGAGGATTAGTCGCATATAAAGACCTCGAGAGAGAATTACGTCAGAAAGACGCTGAAAATGATAATGTTGATAATATATTGTGAGGACACTTACTAACATTATGAAAGGACAGGGAAAGGAAGCAGAGAAAATGAATTCCTTCTGCAATTTCCATGCAAAGGGGAAAATAAATAATATTAGTATTGGTAGTTTATTTACTAGCGCTGCATAGATATGAACAAACCGATATATATATATATATATATATATATATATATATATATTATTTTATATATATATATATATATATAATTATAAAAATAAATTAAATAAATGTTATAAAATCACTACAAAATAGCCATTTTGTTTCAACACACTCGGTGTCTTATCAATGATGATGTTGAATATAGAATAAATGGTTTTAAAAGGTTCAAATTAATTAACGATCCTTCGAGCCCTATATATATATATATATATATATATAGAGAGAGAGAGAGAGGGGAAAGAGAGAATGACAGACGTAGATATACAGAGAGAGATATGAACAGACTTAGATAGATAGATAGATAGATAGATAGATAGATAGATAGATAGATAGATAAAAAAGTGAACAAAGGAGGTGAATAGATATATAATAGATATATGATATATATATAGATATATATATATATATAGATATATATATATATATATATATATATATATATATATATATATATATATATATATATATATATATATATATATAGAGAGAGAGAGAGAGATAGGAAGAAATTGAGATAGAAAAAGAGAGAGAGACTGACAGAAAAGGACAATGATGGGATATTTCGTCTTCTTTTAGCTTTTCATTGCCTTCAGAATTCCAAGATTCTAATTTTGGTCACATTTGTTTGAAATTTTCGCTACTCTGAACTCCAGAAGGTCAGGAACTTCAAATTTTCTTTCTATCAAATTTTGTTATTGTTTGCCACATTTAACAACACGTTTTAAACAGACAATTATTTTCAGACGCCGATCCACTGACATGTTTATCACCCTTAGAACTCGCTTCATCATCCATTTCCGGGTCAAAAATATCATCTTCTCTCTTGAGGTCATGGAATTGTCAAGATCATTATTTATATGATCAAATGTCATAAGTACAAATTCCCGTTCGGCTATTTCAACCGAAAATATCGATTTTAATCTCATCAAGTGACGGAATTAAAGGAAATGAACTTTTGATAAATCTGACATCTCAGCTGCCGTAAATGCAACTATTGTGAATTAAATAAAAGAGCTATAGAGTGTTCGATATAAGGTAGAAAATTAATATATCGAGAGGAGATTTACTAACATTATGAAAGGACAGAGAAAGATGTGACTAAAAGCAGAAAAAATGAATTCCTTCTGCAAATTGCCTGCAGATAGAATTGATATTGGCAGTTTATTTGATAGAGGTGGATAGATATGAACAAACGGATATATATATATATATAAATAGATAGAATATATGAAAAGTTTGAGATAGAGAGAGATAGATATAAACAGACGCTCATAGCTTGCTAGCTAGCTAAATAGATAGATAGATAGATAGATAGATTATATGAAATGTTTGAGATAGATAGATAGATAGATAGATAGATAGATAGATAGATAGATCGAGCGAGCGTGGATATGTTTTTCCTTTTAATCATTTTATCCCCGGCAAGGCGATAAAGCCACTACGACGCAAGAGGTTACAGACTGAAAGAAACGCAGAGGACAATAAAAGAATAGGATTATAGGAGACAAAAGATAAGCATTGATGTTGCATTTAAATCTTTTGAAGGTCGTAGTTGAATAGAAAGCAAGAAACCAAAATATGATTTCACAATCGAAAGCTCGATAGATAAAACTATTTGCATATAATTTACGATGGCATCTAGCAATTTCAACTGAAAACTGATGAGACCAATCTGCCGGTCTAGTACTGCGATTACTACCTGATACCGAGGTAACAAAGAGGAACGCTCATCGGTACAATTGCTATAAAAATGTAGAAAAGGCACGGGGAAGTAACGTGAAGATGATACGCCAGTTCAGGGCCGATAACAATGTAGATTCTACTCTGGATAGTGTCAAGAATGTGTAAATATGTAATAAACACTCAAGACAAGATGTGGCAGCCATATTTGATGCACGGACGAATGGCAGAATTGTAAATGCGCAAGATAGATTCTGGAGAGAGAAAACCGTCAAGTACGACACACGGAAACAACATTCTCAGTAGCAGACCTGATACTTTACTTCTGTCCTAGTATTCTTTGGGTAGCTAGACATTTGAAATGGTCTAGCGTGGCGCCATGTGAAACGGCTACTAGGAACGAGGCCAGACAAAAAATTAATTTATATTATTTTATTTTTGGGCTTTATTTTTTTTTAATTTAGACAAATGAATTCTAATCTACACACAAACAACACATGTTGTAATGTCCATATAACCACATCTGATGATGGCTCATCTGAGCTGAAAGCTTAAATCGACGACCAATATAATAAAGAAATATCCAAATATTGAACAGTTTTTGTCTTTATTTTCTCTTGAAACTAAAGCTATTATGCAATGCACATGATAAAACGTAATAGACATTCCTTGTTTGTTATATTTAACAATTTATGTTTGAATCTATATATATATATATATATATATATATATATATATATATAGATTGAAATGGATTAAGTACGAAAATTATTTAATATATATATTTATATATATATAGTATATTGATGCAGGAAGTATAACATGTAAACAGTTAATATACACACACACACACATACACACACACACACATATATATATATAAATATATATATTACAAATTTGTGGCTTGGTGGTGATGATTCCAAGGACGATATTAATCCAGGGATGGCTCAATGTAGACTACAGAGATTTATAATAATAATAATAATAATAATAATAATTATCAAAGAGAAAACCTTAAAGATTCTTTTCGGTTCTGATTTGTTTCTTGAATATCAAATCTTCAGACCGCAAACACTTAGTAAATGGAGACAATACCCCGGACTGGTATATTAGATTGACAGTGGGGAAGGGAATGCAAGGGAGAAGAGAAGAGAGAAGGAGGTGAAGTAGAAACAGATGGACAGGTTCTTTTTAAAAAAGTGAGATATGGAGAGGGTATGGAAAGGAAAGAGAAGCAGGAAGTAATGAATGGGTAGAAATAAGACTAAAAAAACTGACCGGGCCAAGAATTTTTTTCCCTTAAAGTGTGGAACTCTGTTCATCGGGTTATATAGCAATTTGACCGATATGACCCATTACTTTAGATAGGACACATTTACCCTATTCTAAATTAGTAAGACTAATAAAAGGGTCCTTAATACAAATAATAAATAAAAAATTATAATAACGATAATAATATCAAACATAAATGAAGGGTTTTTAAATACAGATAAATAATAAAAGTCAAATTAGAAAAATAAAAATATAAACTGAGTAAGATGATGTATGGATAATGATACTAAAGATGCTAATTTAGAATTATAAATGTTGTGTATATCGGCAAGACAGTCAGAGATCCAACTACATATGAAGAAACACGGTAAAAACACAAAACCGTGTGATACGCAATATCAACTCACATCCGCACATACACATATACATACACAAATACATACATACATACATACATACATACATACATACATACACATGAATGTGTAGGGAGACCACAGTTGTTTTTCTTTGGGTTGAGCTCATGAGAGTTTTGGCCCCTTTTAGAGAGTAGAACTCTTCTGCCCTTTTTGTCTTTGCTTCCGTTTTTTTGAGGAACCGCCTCTTTACCTTCCTGACCACCAGAGCCTCCACACACGGGGAAACTGGTCAACATGTGCACGGCCTAGCGAAAGAAAAAAGTAATTTCCATTCACTTATCTGCGGACGACCAAAGGCCATAAAGTTTGTATGTTATTTCTTTGTTCTCGTTCTGTAAACCTCCTCGTTCCTTTGGGACAATATGGACAATCATTTGTTTGGGGACATATGTGAATCTTTTTAATATATGTACGTAAGTTGATTGCCTTATTAAATGTTTTGTTTGTTACGCTCGCGTATTTCGTCTTTCTATATTCGTATTCAGTGTTAGTGTATCAATGGCTACACTAATGCTAATATTAGTATCGGTGTGCTACTGTTATTCTTCCTAACACAAAAGAGTCGGTAAACTCTGTGTGGCAGATACCACCATACTAATAAATGCATGTACATCCATATCTGCTATTACCGATATAAACGAATCAACACTTCAAGTGTTCCCCATCCAAAAGAAAAAAAAGTTTTTAGAGGATTTTAAATTTGTTCTTATGTTTACACTTGAAATCAATTCGTTCCGTTGATTTAGCATTTGTGTATATAATTATTACAATTTTTTCTTGTATACACTGGTCACATCTGTCCTGGACGTTTCTGGGGATTTGAGACCGAGCGATGATTTCCCATTTGATTAGTAGCGTGAAACTACTATCTTTAATCTTCCAATAATGCTTGGATAGAGCAGTTTAGTGTCTCAATGAAGCATTGAAGAAGGAATGTCAGTCTTTGTTTCCAATTTTCAGCGGATATATCTATGTTTATTTTTTGTCGTTGATGTTATGTATTTACTTTATACAGGCTATAAATGCAGTATGCGATTCCCAAACATCAGATGGTCTGAATCAAAAGTATTATCAATAAGGAACTTTTGTTCTAAGAGACGTTGATCAGTTATGTCTCTAAAATGTATTCACCTTAAATTATACCAAAGCAGACTTTGGCCACAGTGTCATGTTAGAGTATCAAAGACGCCAGGTGCATCAAAGGGTTGACCTGGAAGGTGTCCTCCTAGCCATCAGTTGCATATTCGCTCTTCACAAGATATCAGTGGCTTTCCCAGATATCTAATCAAGTGTCCTATCCAGCTACCCTTAGCATCCGCCCATGTGGGAAAACCAAATAAGCGGAATATATATATATATATATATATATATATATATATATATATACCTGTGAGGGATAGGTCAGAGTCACTTCGATATCCTTCCGAGAAGGAGATCCACATTCGGAGACCCCCACCCACGCCAAATTTACATTTGTTGATAGTAATTGACGAGGTCCAGGCGTGAATAAACAATTAGTTTTCATATGAGAGATTTTGTCACATCTATAAATATTGCATACGTATACAGTGTACTCCTGAGACTTTTATAATCACTTTGTATAATTAACGTAATTGCCCGCGCCTTGCTGAATGTCACACTTTTTTTTTTTTTTGTAAGAAAATGATAATTGATTTTAAATCAATGTTATAATTTTGGAGAAAAATTATGTATTTCAATATTACACAATGATCTTGCCGATGTGACCTCCATCTTCTGACTTTCGCCTTCTATATTTTGGATAGGAGCCATTCCCTTGTTCAAATTTAAATTTAATTTAAATCAAAAGGAAAAAAAATCAGTGGTGGGGTTGTGCCACTCGGGACCTCCTTTGATCAAAATAAAATATACTTATCCAAATATCCTTGGTAATGTAGTTTTAGAATATAGATAGTTATCGAGGCTTATCTCCAAAATTATAGGAGGAATTCGATAACAGACAGACAGAGGCTACAACTTTCAAAGAAGTGTGTCCTCGTAATAGAATTAACGGTACCATGGGAGGAGGCGCACGTGCGAAAGAAAAACCGCGCACCAAATCTCCCTGCGATTGGACTGCGTGGGAAAAGGATGGACATGTTATGTTATTGAGGTCCGGTGCCGTGGATTCTTTGGACAGTCAATCGTTTCCTTCTTTTTAAAGATGGGTATCAATGGCCAGAACCTTAAGCGTGCTTCACATTGTCTCCAGCTAAACAGACACCGAGTTGATTCTGGCCAAGATCCGGAATAAATAAAGTTAAATAAAACCATTCTCGCTACACGATGCTACTTCCGACGTGAAACACATCTGTTTATCATCCATTCTAATTAATAACGGTATTTTAAAATAACGCTGAAATTTTCAGTTACAGTTGTAAAGAGAAATCGCAAGAGACTGTACCTTTTTTAGCCAACGAAATTGCGTTACCTCCCTTGCTTGGTGGCTGATGAAGGCTTTCACACCTTGTATGTAGAGAATTAAAATATATAGATGACTATCATGTTAGAAAGTATGCCAAATAAATGAATGATATTAAATCTATCCTGAGGCGAAAAAGTTATCAAAAATTTCACTGCAACTCATTTGACAGCATCTATTCATTTGACGAGGATGAAAATCCAATCTGTTATGTGTTCTATTGGAGGCCAACTATTTGTTGTGGGTGAAGAAGAATCAATGAAGAAGGTAGGATCACTAGTAGGCGTACTTGTTTCGCTTGTAGTATTTAATTTAGCTTCCTTCTTTTATATATGTATATTTCATCTAATAAATGGCTCGAAAGTTTACTCTTAAAATGGTAATGTTGAAAGAATTGCGTGATATGAGTGAAGGGCGGGTATTGGAAGTGGAGATTATGAGAATAAGGAGAATAGACAATGATTGATCTTTGACTTGCAGGGTTTAACATTTTAATGTTCCGGGAAGTATTCTCGCGGGTGTCTGTTTCACCACGTAGCAGTTCCTGATGATATGTTGTTTGAATGTAACTTTATTCTTACATTTG